CTGCTTCTCTTTCGTGAAGAACCAATGCGTAAACATTGCAAACCGCAGCTGTATTCCCTGATAGTTCGTAATGAAAAGCTAGTTTTGTAACTCCGTCTTTAATGTCCATTTTTTGTTTTGTTAAGTCAAAATAAACAAATGGGAATAAATTTTTTAAAATTTGCTCTGTTTAAAAGTGTTCCACCTTGGAAATCGTTGTTTGCGTAAGCGTATGACTTTACATCTCTGTAAACTCTTGAGAAATCTAAGGATGGTTTGTAGTAAAAATCGGGACATTACTTTCCATTTTCAACTTCCAGATAGCATCTATCCAATGTTCTTGGGTCGGTTGATACGCTGAAAGTGTTATAAAGAAACGGATTTGCTGTTTGTGACTCAATATTTGCTGTGTTAATTATAAAGACAAAAACATGACGCGGTTTTGAAATAGCATTTGTAATTCGGAAATGACCAGTTCTTTGTCTTGAATTATTGCCTCTTTTAACTACTTCATTTAAATAAGTCCATTTATAAGGTTTAATATAATTTTCCACATACAACGTTTGTCCTTCTGAGTTGAAGGATAACCTTGGGACAAAAAAATGAAGTCTCGTTACAGTAACTCTGCAATCTACTCCTGCTTGCCAAATAAGGTTGGTATCTTTTTCAGTTTCAAGATTTAACTCAATTTTTGTGTTTGGAAGTAATTTATCCTCTAACGCTTCAAAAAATGAGTATCTGTTAAGAGGAATTTCCCAATTTACTGTGGCTGATGTTCCCAATAGGGCTTTTCTTGCGCCAAAACCTTTATTGTAATTAGCCACAACGGTGAGAAGTACAGCTGTTTGTCCATCACCTGCAGCAATTCTTACATTTCCAGAGGTAAACTTTCTTTCTTCAGCATTTCTTGGTGTATCAAGAAATTAAAATTCATTTGTAGCAACACTCTTAGCATAAGAGGGATTATACTCAAGCAAATGTTTGATATTTACACAATGGTTGGCATAATTACAACTGTAAACTTCTCTTCCATTTGCCAAGATACTCGACTTTTGTATAAATGAGTTAGAGCCATTTACAATTCCATTATGGTCAGCAGCTACAATATCTCCTCCATTTGCTAATAAATTAACTTTAAAATCAACAGATAATCTCGCATTATACCAATCAAACCAGGGCGTAAGAAGCTGGGGCGTTGAAACGCTCATACGCACTCTCTGGTTCAGGTGTGATGCGGAGTAGGACTGGAACTAGTTCGCCTTTCCGCTCTCGATCCGCTGTCAGAGCAAGAAAAATGGCGCCGTCTAGCTGAAGGTAGGTTCGGATTTATTACTTTATATCTTTAGATTGCTGCAATCTATAATTAGATTTGATATTTGGTGTATTTCTATGCGATATAGGTCTTATAAGTTAAGGTGTTTTTTCGCCTTTTATGTTTATGTAGTGTCAAAATGGCCTATCGAATATTACAGGTTGAAGGTCGCGTTTGATCTTGCCAGTCAAAACCAAATGATAATAAACGGCAACAAAAAAAAAATATGTAATGGTTTTATAAATTTTGTCTGTGCATGCACATTTTTAGAGTGAACTTTTATGAACCTTTAAGGTTTTTTTACTTCTGAAGTGACGACTTCATAATGGGGATAGCACGGTTTTTGTTTTATACGTAGGCGTTTAGCTTGTTAGTTAGTAAAATAAAAGATTTCAGTTGCCCAATTTAGTGATTTTTCGTTTTTTAATATACACTAAGATGGGAAACAATTATTTTTTAGTTACAGAACCGCGAACCAAGAAGGTTCTGACTATTTTTAAAGTTGTACTAGAAAAAGGCATTCGAATGATCTCGTGTGACAGTCTTTACATAAACAACAACAAATTCTGCTTCACTACGGTATAAATCTAAAGGTTATATTGCACAGAAACAGAATGGAGAAATGGAGAAATTTGCTGTCAAATCTCCACAAAGATTCCACTGTAAAATTAAATCATGGGATGTTTGTTATTGTGCTTTTTTTGCAGGCCAACAGTGAGTGCCCGGCCTGAAAGGACTACTAGAACACGCACTGAAAGATAAACGAGTTCATAATACCGTGAATATGAAGAAGAACATGAAGAGGTCTTAATTTGATTGTAAGTAGAATAAATTAAGACTGTGTAGCATTGTATTTTTGTCGTCAGAGGCTTAAGTGTGGTGTCGCACAAACTACAGTCAGCTCTCAGATGGAAACTATTGGGACTAGCACAAAATGTCTGTATTAATGGACAGGTGTAACTCTTATAGAGAGTAAAAGAAAATGACTGAAGAATAGTAGAGACCAACTCGATTTCCTCGAGGTGCCTTATCTTTTGATTGTACTACTGTATAATATTGCTAGCATTATATCCTCTCTCTTAATACTATATATTGTAGTTACAAGGAGACAGGAAAGTATTTTTTGAATCAAGTTTGATTAAGCCTGGCTGCAGTTAATAAATTTAACCAAGAATGAAACTGAATCATACTGGACATGAAGTATACAAG